TGAATTCATTTAGTAGGATAGAATTTTGGAGTTTCTACATATAAGACTGTGCTACCTACAAACAGTTTTGCTTCTTCTATTCTTGCTGTTAAAGTGCTGGACTCAATATGCCAGCAAATTTGGAAAGCTCAGCAATGGCCCCAGGACTGGCAATGGTCAGTTTTCATTCCTCTCCTAAAGAAGGACAATGCCAGAGAATGTTCAAACTACTGTACGACTGTGCTTATTTCACACGCTAGCAAGGTAATGGTCAAGATCCTTCAAGCTAGTCTTCAACAGTATGTGAACTGAGAACTTATAGATGTACAAGTTGGATTTACAAAAGGCAGAGGAACCAGAGGTCAGCTTGCCAACATTCATTGGATCATAGAGAAAGCAAGGGAATTCCAGAAAAACATCTACTTCTGATTCATTGACTATGCCAAAGCCTTTGACTGTGTGAATCACAACAAAGTCTAGAAAATTCTTAAAGAGATGGGAGTACCAGACCACCTTACCTGTCTCCTGAGAAACCTGTATGCACGTCAAAAAGCAACAGTTAGAACCAGACATGCAACAATAGACTGGTTCAAAATTGGGAAAGGAATATGACGAGGCTGTATACTGTCACTCAGTTTATTTAACATACATGCAGAGTACCTAATGCAAAATTCCAGGCTGGATGAATCACTAACTGGACTCAGGATTACCAGCAGAAATATCAGCAACATCAGATATGCAGATAATACCACCCTAAGGGCAGAAAGTGAAGAGGAACCTCTTGATGAAGGTGAAAGAGGACAATGAAAAAGCTGGCTTAAAACTCAACAATCAGAAAACTAAGATCATGGCATCTGGTCCCATCACTTCATGGCAAATAGACAGGAAAACAATGAAAACAGTGACAGACTTTATTTTCTTGGGCTCCAGAATCACTGCAAATGGTGACTGCAGCCATGAAATTAAAAGACACTTGCTTCTTGGAAGAAGAGCTTTATGACAAAGCTAGACAGCATATTAAAAAGTAGAGACATCACTTTGCTGACAAAGGTCCCTATAGTCTAAGCTATGGTTTTTCCAGTAGTCATGTATAGATGTAAGAGTTGGACCTAAAGAAGGCTGAGCACTGAAGAATTGATGCTTGCAAATTGTGGTGCTGGAGAAGACTCTTGAGAGTCAGTTGGACTGCAGGGAAATCAAACTAGTCAGTCCTAAAGGAAATCAGCCCTGAATGTTCAGTGAAAAGACTGATGCTGAAGCTGAAGCTCTGGTACTTAGGTTACCTGGTGCAAAGAACCAACTCATTGGAAAAGACCCTGATGCTGGGGAAGATTGAGGGCAAGAGGAGAATGGGGCAACAGAGGATGAGCTGGTTGGATGTCATCACCAACTTTTTGAACATGAGTTTGAGCAAATTTGGGGAGATAGTGAAGGATGGCGAAGCCTGGTGTGTTGAAGTCCCAGGAGTGGCACAGAGTCGGACGTGACTTAGCAACTGAACAATGACAGCAATTCTGGTTTGAATGCCTTTTCTTTCTTTTTCTTCCCTACTTACTCTGGCTAGGGCTTCCTGTACTGTGTTGAATAAAAGCAGAAGTGATGGGCATCCTCGTCTTTTCCTGATGTTAGAGGAAAACCTTTTTACCTTTTGAGTGTTGAATATAATGTTGTTGTTGTTGTTGTTTAGTCGCTGATTTGTGTCCGACTCTTGTGACCCCATGGACTGTAGCCCGCCAGGCTCCTCTGTCCATGAGATTTCCCAGGCAAGAATACTGGAGTAGGTTGCCATTTTCTTCTCCAGGGGAATCTTCCTGACTTAGGGATCAAAACTGTTTCCTGCTTGGCAGGTAGATTCTTTACCACTGGGCCACCTGGGAAGCCCGGAATGTGATGTTAGCTGTAGCCATATCAGATGTGTTGAGGTGCATTCCTTCTATATCTAGCTTGTTGAGAGTTTTTAATCTTGAAAAGATATTGAATTTTATCAAATGCTTTTTTCAGCATGTATAGATATGATTATGGGTTTTATCTTCCATTGTGATAATGTGTTTGTCACATTTTTTGATGTGGCACATGATGTTTAACCTTGTTAGCATCCCCAGGATAAATCCTCCTTGATTGTGATGTATGATTCTTTTAATGTGCTGTTAGATTTGATTTGTAAGTGTTTTGTTGAAGAGTTTTGTATCTATGTTTATCAGGGGTATCGTCCTGTAATTTTCTTCTGTTGTGTTATGCTTAAATAGCTTTGATATCAGAGTAATGCTGTTCTCATAAAATGAACTTGGAAGTGTTCCTGCTTCAAGTTTTTGGAAGACTTTGAGAAGGATTAATGTTAAGTCTTTAAATATTAAGTAGATTTCCCAGTGATTCTGTCTAGTCCTGGGCTTTTCTTTGTTGGGGATTTTTTTATTAGTGATTACGTCTCCTTACCATCTTCTTACCTCCTTATAGATCTGTTCAGATTTTCTATTTCTTCATGATTTAGTTTTGGTTGGTTTTATGTTTATAGGTATGTTATTCATTTCTTGAGGTTATCTAATTTGTTCAAAATTAGAACAAATTGTTCATTGTAATTTCTTCTGATTGATTGTATTCCTGCAGTATCAGTTGTGATGTCTCCTCTTTTATTTCTGAGTTTGAGTCGTCACTCTTCATCATCTAACTAAAGTCCTGTCAATCTAACTAAAGGCCTTGTATCTTCTAAGAAACTGACTCTTGGCAATTCCCTGGTGGCCCAGTGGTTAGGACTCTGTACTTTCACTCCAGGAGGCCCAGGTTTGATCCTTGGTCAGGAAACTGAGATTCTTTAAGCCGCACGCTGTGGCCAAAAAAAAGCCGCTTTAGTTTCATTGATGTTTTCTATCATTTTCCTAGTCTCTGTTTCACTTTTCTGCTCTGATCTTTGTTATTTGCTTATTTCTGATAATTTTAATCTTAGTTCTTTTTTTCATATCTTGAGGTGTAAGCATACGCTGTTTATTTGAGATCGTTCTTTTATTCTTAATGTAGGCATGTATTGCTCTAAACTATCCTCTTACAGTTGCTTTTGCGGCATCCCACAAATTTTGGTGTGTTGTTTTCATTTTCATTTGTCTAAATTTTTTTTTTTAAACTTCTTATTTAACCTGTAGGTCATTCAGGAGTGTGTCATTTAAATTCCAATATTTGTGAATTTTCCAAGTTTCTTCCTGTTAATGATTTCCAGTTTCATACCATTGTAGTTTGAAAAGATACTTGATACGATTTTCATCTTTGTAAACTTTTTAGTATTTGTTTTGTGACCCAACATGTGATGTCTCCTAGAGAATGATACATGCACTTGAGAAGAATGTGTATTCTGCTATAATTGGATAGCATCTTTTGTACATGTCTGTTACGTCCATTTGGTCTTAGGTGCAGTTCAAGTCCAACGCTGTCTTATCCAGAGTGGGATATTGAACCCTTAATATTATTGCAGCTATCTATTTCTGCCTTCAGATTTGTTAATATTTGCTTTATATATTTAGGTGCTCCAATATTGGGTGCATATGTATTTGTAATTTTTATCCTCTTGATGAATTGATTGCTTTATCATTATGTAATGACCTCCTTTGTCTCTTGTGACAATTATTTACTTAAAGAGTATCTCATCTGACATAGTATAATTACCCTGCTTGTGTTTTTTAACCACTGCTTTTGAAAAATATTTGTTTTTCTATTTATTTTTGGTGTGGTGGATCTTTGTTGCTATGTGGGCTTTTTCTCTAGTTCTGGTGAGTGGGGGATGCTCTCATTGCAGGCTTCTCATTGTAGAGTATGAGTTCTAGGTGCATGGGCTTCAGTGGTTGTGGCACATGGGTTCACCAATTGCAACTCCTGGACTCTAGAGCATAGGCTTAGTAGCTGTGGCACACATGGGCTTTGTTCCTCTACAGCATGTGGGATCTTCCCAGTCCAGGGATCAAACCTGTGTCTCCTGTATTGGCAGGTGGATTCTTTACCAGTGAGCCACCAGGGAAGCCCCATACGCTGGGTCTTAATTGTGGCTCATGGGATCTTCATTGCCACATGCAAGATCTTTTTTTGTTTCATTTGCATGTTTCTGCAGAGAGTTGCCCCTTCCAATAAAGTGAATGTGTACCTCATCAGCATTTCTTTCCATTCAGGCTTCTGGAGTGGAGAGGAGAAAGTTGAGACTTCCTTTGAACAGAGTGTTTCTGTGGCAGTGTCACAGGCAAGGACTTCCAAGGAACCTTCATCTTCTCAGAAGACTCACCCCTGTGAAGTGTGTGGTCCAGTCTTGAGAGGCATTTTCCATTTGGCTGAGCAACAGGGAACACAACACAGCAAGAAATTACTGAAGTGTAGGGCATGTGCCAAAAGATTTTCTTTTAGTACAGACCCTCAGCAGCACCAGGAGCAGCACAAGCAAGAAAAACCACCCACAGTCAGTGTGGACAGGCCATCATTTGTGAAGAGCTCCAATTTCCATGTGTCAGGAGAGCCTTTAACCAGCAAGGAAGTTGGGGATGACTTCCAAACCACCTCAGAACATCTGAAGCAACAGGCCAGTCACACTGGGGAGAAGCCAAATACAGTCACCCACTGCATGGAAACTTTACAAAGCAAAAAAAGTCATTGTACCAAGGGAGAATGCAAGAAAGCCTGCAGCCCCAAACACACACTTGTTCAGGACCAGAGTGCCTACCCTGAAAGACAGCGTTTTGTGTGCAGTAAATGTGGGAAAAAATTCAAGTATAAATCCTCGTTTATTGTGCACCAGAAAGCTCACACTGGTGACAGGCTTTATGAGTGTGGTGACTGTGGAAAATCTTTTAGAGGAAGCTCAGCCCTCATTCAACATCGAAGAATTCATACTGGGGCAAGGCAGTACAAGTGCAGCAAATGTGGGAAATCCTTTAGCCAAGAATTTGTCCTCATTTATCCTCAGAGGAGTAACACTGGAGAAAATTGCCATGTGTGCTATCATTGTGCACAGTCTTCTGGCCATAGCTCCATCTTTATTCAACAACGGACAGTTCACACTGGAGAAATCAGTTATGAATGCACTGAGTGTAGGAAGTCCTTTAAACGAAAATCTGATGTAATTGAACACTGGAGGGTTCATACTGGAGAAAGGCCTTATGAGTGCAATGACTGTGGGAAATCTTTTACTTCTAGCTCTGCCCTCCATTATCATCAGAGAGTTCACACTGGAGAAAAGACTCATAAATGTGGGGAATGTGGGAAGTCTTTTACCTCTAGCTCTGGCCTGCGTTATCATCAGAGAATTCACACAGGAGAAAGGCCATATGAATGTACTGATTGTGGAAAGTCTTTTACCCAAATAAATCACCTCATTATACACCGAAGAATTCACACAGGAGAAAGGCCTTATGAGTGCAGTGAATGTGGGAAATCCTTTAGCCATAAATCTTACCTATCTCAACACCAGAGAGTTCACACTGGAGAAAGGCCTTTTGAATGTAATGAATGTGGGAAATCTTTTACCTCTGGTTCTGCCCTCTGTTATCATCAGAGAGTTCACACAGGAGAAAAACCTTATGAGTGCAGTGACTGTGGGAAATCCTTTACCAATGGACCAATACTCATCCGACACCGTAGAGTTCACACAGGAGAAAGGCCTTATGAGTGCAATGAGTGTGGAAAATCCTTTACCCAAAGAAATCATCTCAACATACACCATAGAGTTCACACAGGAGAAAGGCCTTATGAGTGCAGCGAATGTGGAAAATCTTTTACCTCTGGCTCTGCCCTTCGTTATCATCAGAAAATTCACATTGGAGAAAGGCCTTATGAGTGCAGCGAATGTGAGAAGTCTTTTACCTCTAACTCTGCCCTCCGTTGTCATCAGAGAGTTCACACAGGAGAAAGGCCTTTTGACTGCAGTGAATGTGGGAAATCTTTTAGAGATAGTTCCCAGTTGAATCAACACCAGAGGGTTCACACTGGAGAAAAGCCTTATGAATGTACGGATTGTGGGAGATCCTTTAGCCAGAATTCATACCTCTCTAAACACCGGAGAGTTCACACTGGAGAGAGACCTTATGAGTGCAGTGAATGTGAGAAGTCATTTACTTCTGTCTCTGCCCTTGGCTACCATCAGAGAGTTCACACTGGAGAACGACCTTATAAGTGCAGTGACTGTGGGAAATCTTTTACCAATAGCTCAATACTCGTTCGACATCGGAGAGTTCACACAGGAGAAAGGCCTCATGAATGTAGTGATTGTGGAAAATCCTTTACCCAAAGAATTCACCTCATTATTCACCGGAGAGTTCACACAGGAGAAAGGCCTTATGAATGCAGTGAATGTGGGAAGTCTTTCACCTCTCGTTCCACCCTTCATTATCATCAGAGAGTTCACACAGGAGAAAAGCCGTATGACTGCCTCAAATGTGGGAAGTCTTTTAGCCGAAAATCTAACCTCTCTCAGCATCAGAGAATTCACACTGGAAAAAGGCCTTAGATGTATAAGAAATGTATAGTTTCCTTGTTCAGTGTAATGACACTGGGCCAAACTGTGAGACACTAATTGCCTCACAAATCCAAACACCAAGAGTAAAGAGATTCTTCATCATAATTTCAGTTATGTGGGAAGCATATGTAACTGTGTTGCACACTAATCTGCTCTTGATAGATTTACATCACTTCCAGTTTCCTTCGCCATATTCATTTCACCTCTAATCTGGCAGGTTTCCACAGTATGCATCAGTCACTACCCCAGCATGCTCAGGGAAGTGTACTCTGTTCTCTCATTTGTTGGAGGAAATTAGGATTAGCCTAAACCCTTGGGATGTCTTCATTCCCTTTCTGAGCAGCTTGTGCCTGGGCCTGATGCAGTATTGGCCCAGAGAACATCCAGAGTTCATCTGGCAGCTTGCAGAGGAGGACCACCATTTTCAGGGACGTGTTGGTCTGAAGATACTAGTGATTAATTTTTCTAGCTTTCAAGTCACCAATTAAGAATTGCCAGCCATTGCTGGCAGATCTGCCTGACCATTGCTTTAGTTTGTACAGTAACAAAGATGTTACTGTTTAAATCCTACTTAATCTTGGACGTTCCATTTACCATGTCATGTGTTTTATAAACAGAATTGGGCTCTACAAGCATGAAGAGGTGTGCAACTTTCATGGGGGTTTCAAACTTTCTGTGCTTCAGAGGAGGCAATACAGAGGCAGAAGTTAGCTTACTAGTTTTTGCCAAATTTGCATTTCTGCCCATGGCCTCCTGTGAAAGACTGCAGGGCTTTCTTGTCCTCATTTCATGCCTGGATGCTATGATGAGTTTCAGGAGACTTAGATCACCCTGAGGAGGGGTCAGCTGTGACAACTGCTTCTGGGAGCAGCATAAATATTTTCCCTTGTTTACAGGGAATGTCAGCAGTGCTGAGGGGAATTTCTTCCCCAGGTCCTACCAAGAGCAAGGCAGGTAAAAAAGAGTAAAGATAGAAGAAAGGAGAATCTCATCCACAAATGTATCTGTGACCCAGGCCACATTCCTGTTGACTCAGGTGGAAGGTCATTCATTGCTCATTCTATTTGTTGTCTTTGAGGTAAAACTGATCCACAAAGGGCCTGAGAAAGTGGAATGAATATAGGATTGCCAAACCTCCTTTGCAGAAAGTTGGACATAGAAGTTTGTTTTTTGTTGTTGTTGTTGGTGGTTTTTTTTCAATCTTGAACCATTTCAAAAGCTATTTCATGAGTTCGGACATATGTATGGAAGTAAAACCATCATCATAGTCATGGTAATGACTGTATGTTACTGTATATTTATCTCATGACCTTTTATACTCTTTCCTTGCCCTTCACAGCCCTCCTTGTAACCATTGATTTATTTTCCATTATTATTATTATAATAATCTTTTTGCATTTTCTAGAATTCATATGATAGGAATCAAAGTATTTACTCTTCTGCTTTTATTTAAGTTGCATAAATCCTTGAAGAGTCATCAGTAATGTATGAGCAGCTCGTACTTTTTTTTTCTAAGAAATATTCTTGCTTTTGAATATACCACTATTATCCATTCGTTTATGAACATTTGGAGTTTTTCTCATTTTTGACTATTGAAAAAAAAAGCTGGTAAAATATTTGTATAATTCTTTATGTGGATATATGTTTCATTTATCTTTATTTCAGTAACTCAGAGTGCAAAGTGTGAATCATAAGATAGGTGGGTGTTAACTTAAACAAATTATCAAATTATGATCTGAACTAATTCCACCTTTTCTTCTTTTTTTGGTCACACTGTATGGCTTGTGGGATTTTAATATCCCAATCAGGGATTGAACCTGGGCCCTAAGCAGTGAACACCTGGAGTCCTAACCACTGGACTGCCTGGGAATTTTTTTTTTTTTTTTCATTCTTATCAGCAGTGTTTGAGAGGTCCATTTCCTCCTGTATCCTAGTGAATACTTCATTTGGTCAATCTTTTTTTCTTTAAGGAAGCTGTCACTTTAATCTATTGTGTGTGTGTATATATATATATATATATATATATCTTTCTACACAAATGGGGTAGAGGATAACCTTCCAGGATATTAGTGTTTTTATTAGGAATATGCTTATCTTTTTTTTAATTTTTATTTTCCTTCTGATCAGTTATTCTTAATTTTAACCCTTTTGATGAGTTTGTCATACTATCTCACTGTTGTTTTATTTGCATTTCCCTAAGGATTCATGATCATTTTTCAGATATGTATTTGCTATCTCTATATCTTTAGTGAAATGTTCATATTTGCCACCTAGTCTCTGAGTTTTGGCTATTTTCTTCCTTTTACAAAAGAACAGTGAAACAACCAAGTCATACTGGAATTTCACTCATTTTGTGACTTTTTAATTTATGGAGTATTTTAATAACAGAATAATGTGTTCTAATTTTTTCAGTTTTTTTATGCTATGTGCACTGTAATGGACACGTATATCATTCACTTTTAATCTGTGTTACTAATGTACTCTCCATCACTTTCTAAAGTCCAAGCATTTAATAAAACCAGAAACCCTTGCTTAATAGTCTTTGCCTGGTTTCCTGATCTATTATCATGGGGTTTGGGTTGGAGCAGAACTCTAGAGGAAGGGGGACAAGATGGCATCAGAATGAAGAATCTCAGAGCCCAGCTGGGCTGGAAATAGGGCAGTAATCAGACTCTCCAAGCGCTGGCTCAAGCAGCCTGGGTTTGAATCCTGATCACAAGACATCAGGGGCAAATGATTCCCCACCTCTGGGCCTCAGTTTCCCTTGTAAAACAGGTATAAGATGTGGCTCTACCCATGAACTGTGGGAGGTTGAGCTGGAGCACCCATCTGCTGCCCCGTACTGTACCCACAACCTCACTGGGCCTCCCCACCAGCCTGGCCAGGCACCCCTCATTTCCCCTAAAGTCCCTGAGCCCCACTGGTGCTGAGTGCATTTGAGAAAGAAATGGGGCTTCTGATAAGCCACTGACACACTCACCTGAAGCAGGCCAAGGCTGCAGAGGGCTGGTATATCAGTATGGGTTCACCTCCTGGGACTCTCTAGGCAACTCACTAGAGCTTCCTGAGCCTATTTGCTGAATGTCCTGGAGGTGATGAAGGTGCTTAGCTTGGTCCCTGTGAGAATCAATAAAAGCAACAAAACACTGAGTACTTACGTGAGTGTCACACTGAGTGCCAAGATCCCAGGGTTTGCTTTATAAACATATTCTCTTTAATTCTCACAACTGAGAAAGTAGGAACTTTTGTTTTACTACTGGCAAAATCCAGGGTCAAAATGATGAAGTGGGTTCCCCAAGATCACACAATGGAGAAGTGCCTGAGTCAAGATGGATTCATACCCCTCAGTCTAGCTCCAAAACTTGAGATGTTTAATCTATTTACCTCGGTACACGAAGCCTTCAGCCTGAGGCAGACACACAGAGAATTCCAAGGAGTCCCAGCTGCCTTTAGCTTTGTTGGAATCATCAACACAGCCATTTACCCATGTACCATCTGCCCTTGTAATTCTCACTGGAATACCCTTGTCTGTTATCGCCAGTAGCTTCCCCCACTGGAGGCTTTTCTCTTAGCTGCAACTGATTATATCCCAAGGCCACATCTTCCATTTGAGCACAGCAGAGAGCTCAACCTTTGAGAATCAGTGATTCTGAGCTGGGTCTCTCCACTCTCAGCGGCTGAGTGATAGATAGCCTCTGACACCATCTAACAACCAGGTAGGAGGTTTAACTTTCTCAGGTGTTTGTAACCTTCAGCTTGGAAGAGCAGAGACAGCCCAGAGGACCCGGTACCAGAAAGTGATAATGGAGATCTTTGTGCTCCTGGTCTCACTGGGTAGCAGCTTGCCTCTGCTCCATTCATGGACCCACTGCCTGTTGGGGCAGGTTGAGAAGACCATTGGCACACACCAGCTTTCTTCCCTGCACTCTGCACGTGTTCTGAACCTGCATCCTCTCTTTCAACCTCTCTGTGTCTGCACCAAGGATCTTTTGGTAAAAAAACACACTCCTTAACACGAATCCTCACTGGAGTGCCTGGCAAGCTCTGGCACATCTGAGGTCCTTGTTCCAGATTCCACAGAAGAGGAGCTGAATGGCCCAGCCTGCTCATGTTCCAGGTTTGCAGGGCCATGGATGATAGATGTGTCAGCAAATAGGGTGATTCAGACAGTACTTCTTGGAAGCCATTTGCTATCAGTTCACCAAGGGCATCTTCCTAAACCATACAATCCCAGTTAAAATGGGCTCTGGAATGCTACACCATTGTTGCTTATTGCTTAAGGCCTGGACCACACTCTTGTGCTGCCTTAGGAGATAATTTTAGAGTGTGCACAGATATGACATCAAGTGGCATGGCTGGATGCTGAGAAAGCTGCTGATCCTTTTTCCCTGCTCTTTCCCTTGCTGCTGTCTGAAGAAAGTTTTGATACAGTATAGTGGTAGATCTCCATTTCCCCACTGTTACTAATATCCCCCACTTTTTTTGGGGGGGCATCCAAACATGGACTTGAAACTAATGTCCCTTTTTAACAGAGGGAGCAGTGTTGAGCATACCCCATAAGGTTCCTGGGACTTCATTATTTTGATTTCATTTTTCATGTTAAACTTCTGCTTGTTGCAAGTCAAATTGGTTTTTCCAATTAGCAAACAAAGAGATATAAATATTCTTTTTAAGATACAGTCTACATAAGAAAAATAAAAAGTAGGTCATTTAAAAGAGAATTACAGCAGTGGCCACAGCCAAGTTCCTTAAACACAGACGAGGTGTTGGGTTTGTTGCAGGCACTGTTAAAACTCTGTTCCTTCAATTCAAACATCCTGTCCTTAGCAAAGTAAGGCTGCATGAAAACACATTTCTTTGGTTGCTGATGTGTATAACTCACTATCTAGATGAGCCTCTGAGG